AAAAAAAAAAAAAAAATTGTTATAATTCAATTTCGTTCAGCGTAAGAATAAATATATATAAAATTGGAATTCGATTTGACAGAATTAGTACCAGCAATCTGGTGGCCTCTTGCTCCACGGACACTTGAAATTTTTTCCCCTGGGATCTTGCAGTCTTCGTGCGCTTCCCATTGAAAGCCATTCCTTGCTGAATTAGATACAACTTGTGCCTTAGCAATGCTACTTGATCATTCAATCTTCCACATCTCTGTACTCATGCAAGGTAATGAGAACAAACAAACTATTATGTCAAGTTCGTATAGACTCTAAAGGGTAATTATTAAGATGATTAAAGAGGAAAACTGATAGTTTACCTTGTAAAGGTCCACTAAAATATTGTCAAGGGACTCTTGAGCTTGATCTGAACAGCGATGGCGCAAAGACTTAATTGCTTCAATGGCTTCTTCAGCCCTATTTTGCTGCTTCATCACAATGGCCATATCTTTCAGAGCACTATCCACTCTATCTCCTGCATTAATTGCTGCCCAAAACAGCGGTATTGCTCTCTCTGGATCTTTATCGACTAACTGATACACGAAAGAATGTTAAGAGTAAACAATATAGGCTCAATTAAGCACCAAATAAAAAATATCAGAAGGAAAATAGAAGAAGAAATGATTTTTTCTCTCTTCTTAATAATGGGATCTGCAACTCACTTGAACATTTTTGGCTCGGACATAGGGAGTGTCACCAACTGGGACTTTGTAGGCAACGTGAAAGGACTCATATCGAGTTCTTGAAATCCCGAGAGGCTTGGCTGGGGATGTTGGAGCCGATTTAGTCGATCTGAAACCCGGCGGCGCATTCCACTTGTCCTTCATCATCTTCAATTTTAGTGTTTATAACTAAATAAATTGCAGTTCAGAAGAAGGAATTATGTAATCAGAAAAAAATTGTTGTGGTTTCAGAGAGCAGCCGCGAAAATGGAGAAGAGCGCAGAGAGAGTGGGGAAAGAATAGTGAGAGTGAGGGCAAGGGAGGACAAGAAGGCAGGGTCTATTTTTGAATTCAATATATTTGAATTTTTCACCCGTTGTAAGTTACCGTTCACGAACTAGCCGTTGTGCCCTTTGGTCAATCAAGTGAAAAAATTATTTCCGCGAATCCGCAATATCAATTGACAACCTTGAGGGCATGTTTGGAAGCGATTTTTTCCTCCAAAAAATTGATTTTTTGATCGTTATTTCACTATTTCAACCGTCTTGTTTGACTTTTTCTTTCACAAGTTGACCCCATTTTTCTTCTAACGATCAAAAAATCAATTCTCAAAATCACTCCCAAACAAACTCTGAATATCGCCATTCCTAATAAAAAAATTTTAGTCTTTTTTTTTTATTTTGCAGGTTTTCTTGACAAATTTTTTCTTTTCTTTTCTGAAATCAGTTTTCTTGTCTTTTCGCTATGTCTTGTAAACAAAATGAATAATGTTAATCGGTAACCAGTTCAAGTGATGTTATGTGATAAGCTTAATAAAAGATAAAATTAAGCCGTCGTTTGATGAATGAAATTTATTTCAAACATTTTTTTCCTACATACTCATTTTGAACCACCCATTCACACAATAACAATAAGAAAATCCACCAATGATCACCAAATTTTATATTTAGTGTCACCATGACCACCCAATTGATTTTATTTTACCATAACTACCCAATTTATATAATGTTTAGTCATGACTATCTAATTTCATATAACATTTCACTATACCACCCAATTTTTTTTTCACCATTTTCACTAATTTTGAAAAGGGGTAAAACAAAAGTTTTTTCTTTTTAAATTTTAAAATAAGGCTTTATTTTTCTAAGTAACTTTTTTTTTAAAATAAGTTTTCATTTTTATAAAGACAATTTTTAAATAATTTTTTATTTTATATTATTTTTCTGAACAGTATTTCAAATGCACGCCTAAGCTCGATGTGTGGCTGAAATGCCAATTCAAGTGGTTTGACGCCTTATTTAGCACCGTTGAAAGCTAATATGAGCCTAGGAGCATTATTATCATTTTTCAAAAAAAAAAAAAAAATTCTTAATTTTTTTATTATTCTTTTAATTTAAAATTTAAAGGTTGATTTTTTCACTTTGTCTGTCCTAAATTCAAAACAGCCGCTTGAAGTTTTAAACAAAGGAAAACTCCCAAAAATTCATATTTATTTACTATTTAGTATTTACAAATGAAATTTTTGTTGGAAACGTTAAAATACAATATATAAAGTTCCTATAAATTGTTTTTTTAATTTATTAAAAATTAAAATAAATTATTAAAATAAGAAAATATCTTTTTACATTTTTTTAAGTTTATACCTCGTCTACTTCATAACTTGGCATTCACACATCACCACTCATTACACCTTTTATATATATAGTAAGTTATTTTTTTGTCTCTGAACGGACTTGTTAGACAGAAATTACAATAAGTTATGAGATGTGCTAATTAATGAAATATTGCATAAAAGAATGTGTAAAAAAAAATAAAGTTAAGGACATGGGGGTTATAGTTAAGCAACGACTGAGGATCTTAAATTAAATTAAAATGTGATATAACAAATAAAAAAATGTTGTGTGAATATAATTATCCTTTTCAAAATTAATTTAGCATTAGATTGGTTTAGTTTTTTTTTTAATTCATTTTGTAGTAAATATTCCAAAGTACTTGGTTTGTGTTGACTTGTTTAATTATTTGTCAATCATTTTTGTAAAAAACAAAAAATAAAAAATAAAATCACATTTTATAATTTTTTGAAATTTATAACAATATTTGAAATGGTATTTTTATTTTAACTAACATGATCTCGTCTAAACCAAAAGTTTGAAAATGTTTATATTAATAAATAATAAGAAAAAAATAAAATTTTAAGTAAAATAAAATAACATTTTCAAAATAATATAGAAGTGTAAATCAGAAATAAATATTTATTTTTTTCTGGAAAAGAAATTGTTACCAAAAGCAAAATTCGAGTGAGGTTTCCAACGGTCACAACCCATTTTTTTCAACCGGTCGTGCTAGCTCTAAACTTTTTATTTTAGGGATGAACAAAAATAAAATAAAAATAAAAAAAAATTTGCCAATTCATCAAATTGAATCACAATTGTGATTTTGTAATTGTTGTTTTGGGTCAACTTAGACCTATCAAGGTTTCATTTTAAAATCTAACCAAATCATTTAGAAACGTTCAGCTTTAATAGTCAAAAAATCTCTTGAAATCAATTCACATTGATCACCCAATTTAAAAAAGAAAAATTACTTATTTTACCTAAGATGTATAATTTATTGACTCTATAAGAAGACTGATTTATGATAATGTTTCTGAAATAATGAATTTGGAAGCTTAGATTTTATAGTTGAACTTTGAATTAAATTGTTACCAAAAGCAAAATTCGAGTGAGGTTTCCAACGGTCACAACCCATTTTTTTCAACCGGTCGTGCTAGCTCTAAACTTTGTATTTTAGGGATGAACAAAAATAAAATAAAAAAAAAAAAATTTGCCAATTCATCAAATTGAATCACAATTGTGATTTTGTAATTGTTGTTTTGGGTCAACTTAGACCTATCAAGGTTTCATTTTAAAATCTAACCAAATCATTTAGAAACGTTCAGCTTTAATAGTCAAAAAATCTCTTGAAATCAATTCACATTGATCACCCAATTTAAAAAAGAAAAATTACTTATTTTACCTAAGATGTATAATTTATTGACTCTATAAGAAGACTGATTTATGATAATGTTTCTGAAATAATGAATTTGGAAGTTTAGATTTTATAGTTGAACTTTGTATTATTTTATTACTTTACGTTTGTATTGAGGGTTTGAGACTTTATAAGCATTGCGACTATATTTAGTAAGTTTCAATTTACGGACCTGCTATATGTACACCAAGTGTACAAATAGATTTATCTTTCAATTTAAGTGTTATATCGAAACTTTAGAGCAATATATTTACTTTTTCACTGGTTTAAAAGATTTTGTTTTTATATCATTAAAATCATGGTTTAAAATTAAACCAAACCGCATAAAAAAAGAAAAAAAGATTCGGTTTAAATACCGAAATGATTTGATTTGAAAATAGTTCAAAAATCGTTCATACTGAAACACATTCAACCCTATTTTATATTATTTATTTTTGTAGCTTCTGATAATGTCTTGTAACAAAAAATTGCAAGTGACCCATGCCCAAAATTCTTGTTATATAGTGGATCTCATTGACTAAGTTTGCTTGGCTAAACTTTAAGTGATTGGAAGCAGTGGGTCCTAAATAATCTGTGATTAAGAATCACATAAAATTGTTAATACTAAAGAATGTACAGTTACAAATATATATGATCAAAATACAAGTACTTAAAAATTTTGTGAAACATGTATTGAATGAGACGTAAAGTTGAAATGCAATTGGGTTTGAGTAATGTTATTTAGTATTATTGGTGTTATAACAACAATTTAGATGGTACTAACGTGATATTAAATGATAAGTACAAGATTCGGTTTAAATACCGAAATGATTTGATTTGAAAATAGTTCAAAAATCGTTCATACTGAAACACATTCAACCCTATTTTATTTTATTTATTTTTGTAGCTTCTGATAATGTCTTGTAACAAAAAATTGCAAGTGGCCCATGCCCAAAATTCTTGTTATATAGTGGATCTCATTGACTAAGTTTGCTTGGCTAAACTTTAAGTGATTGGAAGCAGTGGGTCCTAAATAATCTGTGATTAAGAATCACATAAAATTGTTAATACTAAAGAATGTACAGTTAAAAATATGTATGATCAAAATACAAGTACTTAAAAATTTTGTGAAACATGTATTGAATGAGACGTAAAGTTGAAATGCAATTGGGTTTGAGTAATGTTATTTAGTATTATTGGTGTTATAACAACAATTTAGAAGGTACTAACATGATATTAAATGAATCACTTAACCATGTTTGATGACCATTATATGGCAAAAAATAATTAAATAGTGAATTTTTTGAAATTATATGAT